TTCTTTCGTTGGTCTCAATCCTCGAAAGTCGAGAAAACTGCTGAGCGAGTGATTCTTTTAGAACGCGAAAAATGTCAAGATTAACAGCAACAGGCTGGCCACCAGATGATGCAGTGTAGCAAAAGAAAAAGAATATTTGAAAAATCAGCTGTGCACAGCAGCCGATTAAAGTACTAGTGAATAATTTTGATAATTGATTTGAGTAGATTTTTTATAAGTTCAAGATCTATGAGAGAGTTATTTGTGCTTCTAACTGTACTGACCGTTGCGACCGCTCTTCTCGACCAGTCAATTGCAATACGTGGAAAATTACTGTGCGGTGCCAAGCCAGCAGCCAATGTACGTGTGAAGCTTTGGGAAGAAGATACTGGTTCGTTGAAAAACCAATTATTTTTGATAAATCTTTTTTTGTAAAATCTAGGTTTTTCCTGCTACTTATTGCTAGTTTTGGTAGCCTTGGTGATCAAGCAAATTCTGCTGGACAGGGAATACTTCTTATCTTGTTGGTAGTGTACATCGCACGTCGATGAGTATGAGGCTTGAAAGGTTTCGAGGAAGCTGTGAGCGCGAACTGCGTTCCAGTCAGGTACACATTCATAAGGCTTAAATTGACTTTAAAGCTACTCTTTATCCCGATATGTAAAAGTATGTCTTTTTAACCACATAATAAAATTTGCCAAATCTGATGAAATTTCACTTAGTTCGCGTTGTAACACGCAGAACTTCCAGTTCTCCACCCTGACGTTAAACATCAGGTGCTATCCCACCTCTTACACCTCGTTTACCCGCTGATCCTGATAGTTAGAAAGAAGCAAACTTCAAATTCAGAGATTTGAGTCGACTGTTGTTTTTAGGGAAAATTGTCTGTGATTAGCTATGAACATAGGCGGATTACTGAGAAGAGAGATGATGGATCTTCCGCCCTCTCCTCCTCCCCTTCCCCTCTGCTCTCCCCAACCCTGGCAGCGGCACAGGCACCAGTGTTACCAAATGTCTTGGTCTAAAGCTAAAACTGGCGAAAACTTTCTTCCGCATCTCCTGTCGCCCCTCCGAGCAGGAACCCCACTCCTCTTCCCCTCTCCC